ATGTATTGAGAAATATTTCTTACATGTTTCGTCATGTATGTTTAACGGATTTCCAAATCAGAAACAAGATATGGGTATGTGCGAAAATATATTTGTTGTTGCGAACCTTTCAATTTTAGGAACGAAACTTCTAATTTTATAAACGGTTGCAAATTTTCTAATATTAGTAACGGTTGCTTTTCTAATATTACTAGTAACGGTTGCAAACATGTTGCGAGCATGTAAATTATTCGGAACGATTTATAGTTTGACTTATTTAGACACCGGTCTATCATTGAATACCGCATGTTAACCTATGGATATCTTTGGTTTTCTAATGATAGTTTAATGTTTCTCTGACTATAGCCCTTTACTCCTTTTATTCAATTATGATTAGCATTTTTGAGCAGATATTCATTTTTTAATATTAGATATATTTATTTCATAAAGGTGAGTTTTTGTTAGGCAGACAGCTAGATTTGAGTATGCCTGGAACTTTGTTAGTTTATTAGAGGACAGGAGAAAGATACCAAAGGTACATTCAAATCCAAAAGTCGAAAACGAACTGACAACGACATGGCAAATAAACGAAAATTGACAACAACAGTACACAAAACACAACATAGAAAATGAAAGACTGAGCAACATGAACCCCACTAAAAACTGGTGGTTTCAAGCGCTCTGGAATTGTAAGAAGATCCTGCTCCACAGTTGCCACCCGTCGTGTTGCTCACGGAAGTAAACATCCGGTGATAAGTGGTTATCTTTCATTATGTCTTATGTTGTTTATCATTTCAGACATTTAGTATTGATATCAGATATGTGATAGTCTGTTTTTGTTTACTATCTTTCTAGACTGTAGCGATATATTATAGTTAGACGCATTATACAGGTCATTTTTTTTTATCACAATATTTGTTTTGGCGTTGGGTTGTTGTATAATTGGCCTAAACCCAACATCTTTATATTCCCACTGTACATTCAATTTTTTTTTGTATGAGTGTGTTGCAACGACAAAAAAAAACAATATATTATACAAATGTATAATAATTTTAAAATTTTAATTGTGGTTTGACTCGACTTCCAATATATTAATTATGCATACTTATAGCGTACTACTGGATATAAATATCTCTTGGGTATATTTGTCGTGAATTTTTTATCACACCGACGCATACCCAGCATTTTGAAACGTTAATCAGATGCAGATCTAGAATTCTGAAAAAGGGGTCCAGCGGGCACCCAAATTAGAAAAACATTGGGGTGGTATAGGTTAAAAGTCAGGATTAACCATAAATGTAGCTCCATAAAGGGGACGGGCACCCCGCCCCCTAAATCCGCCTCTGTTATTCTATTATTAAGTAAACTTCTGAAGCATGTTTATACCACATACATAAATCATATAAAGAGATTTTTTTAAATCTAATTCAAATGATTTCCGCAAAAATGACATGATGTTAAAACTGAGATATATTATCTGCTGAAGGAAAAAACATTCCCGTCTTTCTGAATATGAATGAAATTTCTTTCCACTGGGCGGTCACCAAATAACAAAAAAATATATATCTTCCTAAAAAAAAACAAATACAAAACAGTGGTTAAAATATCCCATCTAAAAACTTTGACAAAAAAATCCTTCAAAAATCACGAATGACCAGTTTCTACAAAAATTCTGGTAAAATGGTATGTGTGTGATCCTCTTTTAGAAAAATGGTTGCAACAAACCAAAAACAATTCTTAGAAAAGAACAAATATTCAGTCATACAAGCAATCGGAATCAAACAATAAGAAGAACTGCCAATATAATCGGACAGGTACAAGCCCAAAATGTAGTGAGAAGGGTGATTGATTAATTGCTGGCGTTAAAAACCCCACTTTCAGCCCTATAAGCTATTTCGTGGCTGTCAGTTTTTTGTTGGTGGAGGAAGTCGGATTGTCCGGAGAAAAACCATCGACCTTCGACAAGAAAACTGACAATCCTAGTTGATTAAGGTTGGAATCGAACAAACCACCAACGTGCTGGGTTCGAACTCACAGCCTCAGTGTTGACAAGCTATTCAAACCACTCGGCCTAAGAGGCCCTAAGAATGATGATGATGATGATGATATATTTGGTTGAATGTTAGTGTTTATCTCCGCTTTCAACACTCTGAGCTATATCATGGCAGACAATCTTTTTTGTATGGAGGATGCCGGAAAGAACCACCGACCTTCTGAAGGAAACCTTGTCATCCTAAGTCAATTAAGATCCGTGTCGTGCACACCTCGCCCCGAGTGGGGTTCGAAATCACCTCAATGTTGTAATGCTAGTGATCACTGTAGATTATTACTACTTCTAGGACCACTCGACCACCGATGACGATATAATGACACAGGCGACAGTGAATGTCTGATGCAATTCGAATTAGATGGTGATGGATTGTGGTTTAACGTCAAGCGGTAAATGAAATGCATATTGAGGAAAACATGTTAATGCAATATGGATATGAATCCTATACTTTGTACTAGACCGACAAGCTGAGCCGGATTTTTAAAGTGCTAGTTCACAAGGAAATAGTCCGCAGGAAGACTTGTCACCCTAGCCGGACACATTATTCTGACTCCGAGCTGCCCAGTCTTTGCTCTTATTCGTTAATGCCGCGTGCTAGGCAGAGAAGCAGCAATAACCAATCCTAGTTTTTTTGTTTAATCCGGCAGTGGATCGAACCCAAGACCTCCCACACTCCTTTTTTTATCAAAAATCTTAGATAAAAGTTCTTGTATTCAAAGGCAAAATAGTCTAACACCGTAGTACATGGCTCATTCGAAACCACAATCCCGTCGTCTTTTCCTCGAATGTGACCTAGCGAATTAGACTTTAACCATGTTTGTACTTACATGAGCAACATGACGAGTGCAAAATGTGAAGCAGGATCTGTTTACCCTTCCGTAACACCTGAGATCACCCCCGGTTTTTTAAAAGGTTCGTGATGTTTAGTTTAGTTTTCTACTTTATGTTTTGTATAATGTTGTTTGTCTTTTGATAGTTTGTTTATGCGATGGCATTGTCATTTGTTTTTGACTTATGAGTTTTTATATCCCTTCGGTATCTTTCGAGTCTCTTCTGCGAACTCTTATCCTTATGATTTCGGATTATCGGGTTTTTCGAAAGAAATAATTTGCTTACACTTGAAGATTGGTTATTTTCCACCCATACCGGAAAACAGGTCTTTTTTCGTTTGCATTCTAAACCAACGAAGACAAAATTTCGCACATTCGTGGATGACCTGTGAACACAAGTACTTTATTTAAGAAATAAAGGGTTGTATAGCCTTACGTTGAATCATGAATGTGTTGTCCTTAATTATCCGAAGGCTGATTAGAAAATTCTGTTTTCTGGTTATAATGAACCCTCCTTGAGGTCCCAGCTACTTATTCAAAATGGTGAAAAGTTGATTCATATATTGTATGCTCATTGTCAAGTCTATAAAAGTACCTAAGTCAGTAAACGGAAATTAGAAATGAAAAAAAAATAATAAATAAAGCAAAACACGGATGTATAAGCAACCATCCATAACTAAAAAAATATAAAGTTCGGTCAACAAAATCATGAACGCTAAATATTGAAAGCTCCGGAGGTGTTCTCCTGACCAACTTAAATTCGGCACTCGTTATATAATATCATTTTCTAATGCAATCTAATAGTATGATAATTTTAAACTAGAATAAAAATTAAATTAGTAATTTAAAATTCAAATTAGCAATTATTTTGTTGTTTGAGATATAGCTTTTTAGTCCACATAACCTCTCTTTGTGATGCTCGGGATTTGTTGAGGAAACGTAGGTACAATTAATTATAGCAAAATACAGATAACATTTCAAAACTCTAAAATCTTTATCTATCATTAATTACGGTATAAATTAATTTCCAAGAGAAATGCCTACAATGCCTCGTAAATATACTTTTATTTTCTACAAAATGCATATTTACCAATAATCTCAAAGCTATTGTAATTATAACCCTTTGGAACCTTCCTGGAAAATTTTCATTTGGTGTGCTTTGGAAACGCATCTATTTTCCTTGGCAGAAGATTATTTATTGCTTGTTTATAAAGAACAAACGTCTTTCATCTTCACAGAAGCCATAAAATATAATATTTATCCAGAAAATTACTCTTCTTCAAACAAAAGCATAATTCTATTTAAGAAGGATTTTTGTCTTCCTAACTTTAACTAATACGCATATTGTATTAAAAACGCAACACATGCGAAATAAATCACACTTTTTTGTCATATGGAAGTTAAAGGACTTAAGATTTTCCGTAGAGTTTGATGGAAACGCGTTTAAGGGATAAAGTTATATTTTTATATGATATTTTTGGTGATTCAAAATAATTTTTGCTATGCAATAAACGTGGATCCTTTCAATTTGCGTATTTTCTTTTAAGTTTTTGTAATTTTGTCATATTATTTGCGAAATGAGATAAATTACAATATAACCCTGAATAATATCGACAAAGAGGCTTTTCGAGCAAGGTTGTAATTATCTTTTAAAATTTTGGTGATTATTATGAAATATTTTTGCATTTCTTTTTATCCTACGTTTATAACGAAATTATTTCCAATAGAAAATATTGGTATGTATAAGAGCAGAGACGCGTGTATAAATGTTGGTTGACCCATGTAAATATATTCCTAATATTATTATCACTTTTAAAAACTTAAAATCCTTTAAAAACAGCTTATGTTTTTATAATGTCATTCAAATTTCACTTATCGATACAATACCATCCGATGTAACACTCTCAATTTTCAAACTCAGTATTTTTAAATGAATAAAATAATTCGAACAAATGAATAAATCTATATGAAACGATATATATCGTTTAATCTCATAAAACTGTTCATTTTCTGCTAAACAACAATACAAAAATCTCATTACTATAAAATATATGTAATGTAGACGTCCTCGTGAAGAAAAATAATTTTAAACATCGAGATCTGATTGGTTAAAAGCCATAAAGATTATCTGGCCATAAAAAGAATGAGAGATCGGCGGGAATGGGTTTTTCGTCAATGTAGCAAAAGCTTGTACAGTGAGAAGATTTACGACTTTCTACCGTAAGTTAATAGTTTTAAATATTAGTGTTGTTATTTATTTTACTGTGTCTTAATGTGTATGGCTGGCAATAAAACAGTCGAGAAGAGAGTCTGCTGTTGAGATTTTCTACATGGTCAAAATGACTCTACAAGTGGTCGCAGCATTTTATGGGTTGCACATTAGTGTAATTACCGCATCGTTCTAATTTTTCATCATTGACTTTCTTAAATTGATTAAAGAGTTTTTGAAGTTGGTCGAAAGGTCACGAATGTTATAAATTATTTTTAATCAATGATAAATTATTTGTATACTCAAAACAGAAATTCTCGAAAGAGGAAGAAATCTAGTTCAATTTTGAATAGATCTGCAAAATGATTGTTGTTTTTAGAGTGATTTATATTTAATTCTGTTTGGAAGTTTATTGTTTTTGTGGGAATTGTGACCGCTTGTGGTTCGCTACAAAGAGGTAATAAACAATTGTTGTATGCATGAATGCTCTGTTGTTTAAATAAATAAATAAATCATGGAAAAATATGAACATTGGTGCATTACAATCAGAGGAAAATATCTGATATTTTTATGAGATAAACGATAATGAAAAAAACATATGCATTGATAAGACGGCGTAAAAATGCATTCGCGTTTGAATGGTTTTACACTAGTAGTTTTTGGGTCCCTTTATAGCTTGCTGTTCGGTGTGAGCCAAGGCTCCGTGTTGAAGACCGTACTTTGACCTATAATGGTTTATTTTTATAAATTTTGACTTGGATGGAGAGTTGTCTCATTGGCACTTATACCACATCTTCTTATATCTATAAATAGTATTTTTCAGATAAAATAACCTTACCGGAGTAGTAACTCTTAAAACTATGCTTGAAATAATACATAAATTAAGTCTTAATATTAAATTTTAAAAATATGACAAATGTAAAGTAAGTAGCTATATTTATATAAGAATATCAAAAGCTATTAATAATTTGAAAATATTCTTTTATCTGCTATATAATCGACATTTAAACAGAAATCAACCCACAAGAATCGAAAACCACATAAATGAAATAAATAAATTATTTACACTAAATGAAATTGAAAACCATGATTTTATACAGTTAAGAGTTGTACACGCTACACTTTGTTGTTTATTCATTGTGTATTTATATATAAATATATTAAATTTCCATTATACTGAAAATACACGTTATAATGGTAATGCTAAAAACTAATTTATTTTAATTGCATTTTAAAGAGCCGGTATTTATTTTATGTGTTTATTTAAATTATTCTTACTGCAGAAAAAAATGCAGTGTCAAAAAATATGACTAAAAAATATGAGTTTTGACACTGCATCGGCAAATTCCTTTCGTTTGATAAACAATGTATACAGCTCTCGTTTATCTAATTTGTCGTCAAAATTAATTAGAAGATATAGTAAATATTTGTGGTGAAAGTGAAACATTATTTCTCTGACAGATATGATAACCTTCAGGTGACAACACTAAGACCTTAAGGAGAAAGACAATACACACGACATATATGTATGGCAGATAATCACAGTTATTTATGTGTTGACTTTTTACATTACTCAGTCTCAATGTTTTACTTATTGTAAAACAATTTTAGGGTAATAATCTTACGATTATCATATGTTGAGGGCAATAATTTCTATATTATCTGTAGTTGATTTGTACTGTCTCAATATTCAGTAACGGTAATGGATATTGTCTCAATATTGAGTACCGGTAATGGTCATTGTGATTGGTTAACTTTTAGTCCTATTTTGAGTGAAACTGGCGATACATTATACAAAATATAGAATGCAAAACTTCGAGGATAAAATGACAGAAATAGTTAAGAAAAAAGTTACTGATTATTTTTCTGATACGAACTATAAATTTGACCAACACACCATTTAACCTTTTGCCCAGAAGTAAGGCCAAATGTTGCTTATTATGCTAAAAGGGATTAAAAGGGGAAACCAGTACAATGTGTACATCAAACGTCAGAAGATTGATAAAGTTTGTAATATCTGCCACAATAGATATCCAGAAAATTTTATTATTCAATTTATAATACATTTATATTTATACTATATGATTTTCTTATTAAAGATAGTATAATATTTTCTTTTTGATTTTTTTTTATATATTCTCTGATAGTCAATATTTGTATTTGTATGCAAATAAAATGAGCAAAAATTTAAATTCCCGAAATAAGTTATTTCAATTTCATCCAACATGTAAAAACCACAGACAAAGGAAAATGTACTTAAATAATAGGTCAGTTTTGGTAACAGTATGCTTCATAAAAAAGTTGTACAATATATTAAAAATCTTTTGCAAATGTTTGGGTTTCTGGTGTATTTAACGACCTTGACTGTCTATAACGCCCTCGCAAGGTCGTCTGTTTATGTTTTACAATTGACCAACTATTTCTTACGGGATATTAAAAATCATAGCAGTTCAGGTCAATGTTATAATTTTTCATGGAATTTTCTATCCATTTTGAATTAATAGAATATACTCCCCTTTTCTTATTTTAGTAGACTTGTATTATACTTGCCATTTTTAGGTTCTTTGCCAAGTTAAGAAATATTTTTATATAAAAAAAATCTGCAACAGCGGAGGAAATAAAGATATTTGTTATATAAAACTACAAATTACATACTTGTAACTATGATTACAAATATCATGAAATCAATGATAAATGTTTATCAAATTATGATATATGATATAAAATAATGAAATTTAGATCCTTGGTGTTAAAAATAAATCAATTCGATGAATAGTATTGCTAGGGGAATGAGATAGGAATATTAAATGCATATACATGTTGGATGAAAATGTAATTACTTATTCCACGAAATTAAAGTTTTTGCTCATTTTATTCCCATGGGAATATATTGAAACGCGTAGGAAATCTTATGTGAATGTGTTATAAATCACAATTTATCCAATCAACAACTTACCTAATAGCTGGCATGAAATATTCATACGCCTTTAATAACTCTGATTAAGTCAACTTTATGTTGCAAGATATGCTAATTTTGTGTAGTTAAAATCATACAAGCATATAAAATCGACGTCATTTCTTTCTATTTTAGACTTCTTATCGATTTTGATAGCAGAAGACGTTGCATTACGGGAAGTGATTTAATTTCAGAAAAATGCAATATTGAAGATTAATTATGTTTTATTTCGATTATTAGTGTAGAAAGAATAGAGACAGTAAAACCTTTTGTTTAATTATATTTAAGAAATGATGAATTATAAATTGCATGATCTGAAAAGAAAACGAATCCATTTCCTTAGAAGGGAAATTCAGTGAAACTGGATAGTTATTATTCAAATTAAAACTCAATTATTTAGTGTGTATTTGTCTTATGCACAAAACAGGAAGTGTATGGTATTTGTCTATCTCATTAAATTTTACATATAAATAAATTTATATTATAAATATTGACCAGTAACTGTTATTTGAGTGAGAAAATCTCTCTCTCTCTCTCTCTCTCTCTCTCTCTCTCTCTTCGTGTTTATATAAATCCACACACACTCACACACAATTAAAAAGAAATAGAAAGCGTGCAAATCTATAATCCATTATGTTTTCATTTATACTCAAAACTTTGCTTTTTTTTGTCTTGTAGAAAACTTTTTTTATATAAGATATATATAGAAAGGAAATATTTAAACTACAAAAACTTATGCAGAAATAAAACTGTATACAAAATTTTGGTCCACTTTTATATAAAAAAAAACTTTGGTCCACTCCACATACAAAAGTCTATATAAGATTAATTCTAAGTATACATTTGAAACACAATTCAAGACCTATCTTATCTTAAATAGTTCAATTATAATTTGTAAAATAAATTCGTGTATGCCCATATAATAAACGGAAACGTTATTGATATAAGTAAAATAACAGAACCTTATGCATTGCTTACATCATATGTAATGGACCGCGGTCCATTACTTGACTATGTGTACTTTCCATGTTATTGAAAAGGCTTAAATGCCTTGGCGTTGTCAGTTTATTTTCGACATATGAGTTTGAATGTCCCTTTGGTATCTTTCGGCTCTCTTTTTGAACAAAAATATGTCAAAATTCCCACGTTCGAAAAGCATTCATCTTTTTTATATATTGTTGATCTTTTTTTTTATAATAATGACCTTAAAAGTTTGAGCCGTTTTGACTGCAGTTTTGAATTTACAGGTTTGTAAATATAACCTTTAACATATTAACTTGCTGTATGGATCTTTTCCCAACAGTTAATTTTAGATGTGTACTGGTAACGGTGACATCCTTTTTTTATGTCGCTTATGTAATTCAATCTTAATCCTATAGCCAGTTTAGGTTATTCCCCTTGGTATTTAGCAACATGGCACTGCATGTTTTTCACTTGTTGTGGCGTCCTGAATATGCACGAGATTTTCGCTAATGAACTTCATTAATCATTTCCTTTTTGTTGCTCATTGTCCAAATTCCACCACTAGCAAAATTAATGCCAGCTTTGAAGTTGTTGAATCAAGCAGATAAAAACAAAACGTATACATTTATATTTAAACATCACGTGGAAGAAACACAACAGTGTTTTGCGTATGTTTTTCGTTTGTTTCGGTTAATTGGGTAGTTGCCTAAAAGCTGGGGAAATGGATTAACAGGTAACATTGCATGTTTTTATAAAACATTCTATTTTTTTCCAAACCCCCTAGTTTATGAAAAAAATTCTGATAGTGGTTCTAGTACTCAGTGTAATCTGTGGTTAAGAAATAATGATTAGGATTTAAGTCACCATCTTTGGAGTTAGCTAATAACAAGATAAGACAAAATATGAAATCGGGCAAAAATACTTTAAAAAGCTTAAGCGAACCTATAATAATGCTAAATATATGCAAAAGTCAAACAGCATTTAACATATTTAAAAGACTCACATGTACATTTTTTAATTTTCAATATTGCATGGTATCCCAATAACGCAGATTGTACTCTTATAGGCTCTCGTTTATACGGCAAAATTTAA